TTTTCAGAGCATGTGGCATGCATGAAGTGTGTTATGTTCTTCACACTTCACTCTTGCAACACTTTGTACCATTTCTAGTGTGTCGAGTCTCCCTTACATAAAATGAAAGGTGATCAAAAACTTCTTGGGGAAAGCAGATTGACACACTGGTGAAGGTGTAACATCATCACATATAAGTAGTGGCTCGCGTAGTAACAAAGAAAGACTGTTGTCCTGGGTTCAGCTGAAACAGAGTTAACTTTCCTCATAGTAGCTAGTGAGACAGTGATGTTTATAGTTGTTGCCAGGACATTCAAGATCATTTCAGCTTCTCTGCTGAGACAGTGTCTGCAGGTGCAGCAGAAGTTGGGACAGCGCACAGCCCCAGTTACTAGCCTAGGATTTGAGTTTAGGTTTAGGATTGAGACCCAAAGTGGACAATAGTCTATTCCATATCATGCACGTCATGCCCAGTATATAGGTGAGGGCCCTCTGGAAGCTTGTCCCTTTTTGATCCGGATCCATTCTGGTTCTAGGTTGGCTCTCTTGAGGTGGTCCCTCTCCCAGGGCCTTCTCCCTCCCTTGGTCAGCCCTCAGTCTGGGACGCTTGGGCTTTTATCTCCATTCAGGATCATTAGCAAGGAATGGACTGAGCCCTGGTCATTGGGTGGTGACAGTATCACTGTGTATCACTCATTTGTATGTTTGTATATATTATTATTTTCAATATTACTGTAGTTTAGTAATTAAATTGTTCTTATCTCAACCCATGAGTCTTTTTTCCCCTTTATCCTTTAATTTTCTCCCCCATTCCCGGGGCGGGGAGGTGAGTGAGCAGTTGTGTGGGGTTGGCTCCCAGCAAAGGGAGCCAACATCACAACTGTTTTTAAAGGCTCATGGATTATTAGGCTGTGAAGGTATCTTACAGTAGGATGGCATATAAAATTGATAGGAAATACTGTGAAAAATTAAATATTATACTTGCACAGTTTGTATACAGAGTCCTTCAGTTTGCTCTCAGATTCTAACGATTTGTGCAAATTGCTTTCAGAGTAAAAAAATTGCTTCTGGATCTCTGTGATCTGTTTATGTTAAATTTTGATAGACTGTTTCTAGGGAGACTAGCAATATAAGTCTTACTCTCAACATACAATTATGTAGTAAATAAATAATTGGTATAGATGCTGTTACTCACCTGAGATAAAAGAGAGCAAAAGGAGAAACACTGAAACTTATTTAATCTATCTTCTGGATATATATATAATGTATGCATCCACTGAAAACTATTAATCCTAAACTCCTCTTACAAGAAAACGAAAATGTGTGCTTTTAAGAAATGATTCATTTGATCTATTCAGCTATCTGCTTTAGGGTGCATTTTGTTTTATCAGAGACTCTTATCTGTGTTGACTGAATCTCCATTTATCACAAAGGGAGACAGGAATGGTTAGCTGTCTGTGGATGGACGAGTTCCAGTGAAGATTACTTCAGCTTTCGTGTCTGTTAGCCTAATAATGCAGGGAAGTTTTTGCATTGGTAGTGTTATAATGTTTTGTTGAAATGGGACCTTGAATCTTCATTTTCTAAAGTAAAAGGCTAATACATTAAGGCAAGATGAACTAGGCTGGTCTTACATGTAATGTATAATGAAAGTTTTTGGACAGGATGGATTGCTTAAAGGAAAACTAGTGTCTCTGAAGCATTCTGTTTTTCTAAACAGATCTATTGGAGATCTATTAATCCATCTTTTAGAGGTTGTTGAATCACAGTACTGTTGTTAAGCCTATTAATAGGATGCATGTGATATTACAAAACAGCTTCTGCAGATCTCCATTACAGAGGCTATTTGCAGTATTGTGTGGGATAGAATATATGAGCTTCTATGGAAGGAAGGATTTGTTCTGAATCTATTTACTGGTCAATGTCTGTGTTGCATAAGATGAGCATCAGTGGCATAGCTGAATTCTGGTATAGTTAGAGAAAACTGCATTTTAAACCCATAATTAACTACATGGATTAAATGCTGCTAATGGTTAGTAAGCTCACCAACTAGAAAACCCAAACTCTAATGCTGAAAAACGAACTTATAAAGGACTTGAGATAGTGTGAATCAAAAGAAAGACAGGTAAATATTTTCTGTGATAAGTCTCTTAGATGTTTTTCTTCAGGCTGTAGTTTGGCTTACTGGCAAAAATATGTCTGGTTGAAATTTTGATTGTTGCAGTTTGCAGCCCCTTCATTTGGTAGAAATGTTCAAGAGGTCACATTGTAAACTGGATCATTGAAATGATCTGTAATTAAAACTAACCCTGTTAGAGTGTTTTGGTAGTAGACGTGATAAACCTGGAAGTTTTGGGTGGTTCCATTTATAGTTAGCCCCAAGAGTTTTAGTGATGTGACTAAGGAGACAACTGCAAAGGAAAGGTCACAAAGAGACGTCCGCTCAAAAGCTGGTACCTTGTGAAACTGCACTTTTAGTTGATCCTTAACTGCTTTCAAAATTCTGCTTTCTTACTCTAGAGAGAAACAGAGAAAAAGAAATTACTTCTCTTAAAAGTATTGGTATAGCAACTGCGATCCCTTAGGTACAATGTTTTGTAATCAAGGTTTGTATCTATATGCACTATGACAGTTTGTCATCCGTTTCCTACTACTGAACAATTAATTTTGGTATGTTGACTTCAAACAGTGTATGCGTCTAAGATCCTTGTATTTATCTGTGGGAGCTTCATCTCTGATTTATTTTTAAAACCACAGAATTAAGTTCTTTGGTCTGTTATTGCAGAGACTGTGTTAAACTGTTAATGAATCTGCATTAATTTTATTTCAGCTAATGGGGCTGCCACATTAGTAGGTGTAGTTTATCTTCCATTTCTGTAAGCTTTTATCCTATTGATTACTGTCTGATGTATTTCTCCATGGCTTAAGCATAACTGATTTTTGCTGGAATTTTGTTGACAGGTTGATGTTTGTGTGTATTCTGTCATTTAGAGATAAATCACTTGCTGAGTTTGTACAAAGATGGTTGAGAATTTGCCAAGTGAACAAAATAATTATGGATAAATCTTTCCTTACTGCTGAGTGTTGTAGTTATTTAGATTCAGACAAGTTACATTCTGTTACATCTGGCTGGGTCTGCTCTCTCCCATTTGCTCTGCCAGGGATGGAAGCTTCTTGAATTTAAGAAGGAAAAGTTAAGTCAAATTGAAGCTTTTTCAGCTCCATCTTCCTTACCTCTTCCAGTAACAAAACTTTGGTTTTGTCATGCACTAAGAAAGCTCTGTCTTGTGTGCAGGTGTTGTTTTTGAGTCCAAGACATAACAGAAAATCTCTCTTCAAGCCACATCTCCTCTTCAGAGACTAAAGGTGTTTCATGATCTGGGACAGATTTGTAGGATAAATTTGCATGAATAAAGATGTAATAAATGCATGAATAAAGATGTAAATCTTGAGGTTAGACTTAACATTCAAGAAACAAGTGATCCATAAAAACTTGAGGACTGGAGTTTGTGTTCTTGATAACTTCAGTTGCGTAGGGAATGGCTGTCTTGTTTTTTTTTTTTTGACACAACTTTTTTTTTTTTAATTTAAAGATTCTAAAACTGTTAAGTAGTTTAGCATAAGGTTTCAACTATAGGAGGCTTTATGGGTAAAACAGATTTGTGAGGAGGGGTGATGTCCTAATGTTAGTTAAAAAAAAGTTGTCTTTGTAACTTTATGTAATCTTGTTTTCTTTTTACTTTTTTTCTTTAGTCTAGAAGTAGTGAAAACTCTGATTAGGGTGTTATGGAGAACTGGACCAGTTCTCTAAAGAGTGTTTTTGCAGGTTGTTTTTTTTTTTTGAGTGCTTGCAATCCTTTTAGGATTGACACTCTAGACCACTCACAACCATATGGGGTACAGCTGATTAATATCTCCCCTATTAATTCGTACAAGCAACTGTTAGGTGGTATATGTGTGTACGTTAACTATTTTACATTAGCCTGCATTTTGGGGGTTGGGTCAGTGTGATGGAACATTACACAACTATAATAAGGCACTACATGAAAATGTTATGTCAGTGCTCAGTAGTAGTAAAAAACCCCCAAATTAGTCTAAGAAAGTAGTATAGAACAAACCAGAAAATGTGTGGAGAAAGGTGAGAAGAATGCTAAAGACTGTGGAATAACCTCTGTAAAAGGAACAACAGACTAGGATTTGAACAAGATTGAACTGAAGCTAGGAAGGGAGGAAGCTACAGTTGAGTTGCTTGAGGCCAAGTAAATGGAGTATGATAGTTCTTGTTTTGGAACAGAAGGTTAATGAGAAGATGCACAAATTATCTGAAGATTAAAAACAAACAAGAGGAAGTGTTTCTCACAGCACATAGTTAAGCTATTAAACTCCTTGTTGCAGGATGTTTTTGATACTAAAAATTCATATTCTTTAGTAAAGCACCTGCCCAGTTTCACAGGGAGGGATGGGGTAGAATCCATCAAGCATTATTAAAGCCACTGCCCTCTGATGTGAAGAAGTTTTTGACTCACTTAAGGAGAGTTTCATTATTTATTGTTATGTTTGCTGTTGTACTGCATTCTTCCCTATGCGTTCTCTAATGGTTACTTACCTGGTAGGAGAGTGTTTGGTGTGGGCATTTGGTTTAATGAAGCACCCTCTTATCAAGTTTTGTACTTTCTGGAATAAGGATGGGATGGTATTACATGGTTAATTGGGAGTGGTAGGGGAAACTTTGTAAGATGAGCAGTATGGGATGTGTTGGGAAGCAGATATGCCAACCCCAATTTTGATACTATGGGAAGTGAAGTAGTTTTTGGAAGAGCATCTGAAGCATAGTGCTTTGTAGCAGAATGGAAGTTCACAGTAACACAAAACCCAGTGAAGTTTTCTTAAAGCTTGATTATTAACTTTAAAGAAAAACAAAACCAAAAACCCAACCCCCCAATGTTTATATGATTCTTACCCTGTTCTTTGTCTAAGTTATAAGCTTTCAGAAGTTGATTGATTTCATTTAAATTTTACAGGGGTGGAGGTCTCAAACTGAATTCCCACAGACTTTGTGGAAGTAGAAAGCTGGATAGAGAAGAGGTTATACCATGGCTCCAGCTGGGACAAGCAGTAAGGTGAGCTTGTTAAACATCAGAGGATCCTCATAGGACCCCCAACTTTGTAATTGAATCCATATGAAACCAGGTTCATTATTTCAGTGCCTGTGAAATAACTTGTTTAAGCAGGGAGTGTTTTTAATGCTTACATTTTAAGTTGAGAATAACTAATGTAAGGGGCTGGTTGTTTGCCAGCTTCCTTTTCAAAGATTTTTCTTTTTGAAGTTCGGTTTTGAAACTGTGATAGTATATTCTAAAGAGCTATGTTTTCTGTGTTTTATTGAGTTGGCAATAAGCCATCTCATTTTCATACTTCTAGTGGGAGAAACGGTTAGCTCTTTGATAGCTACAGATTTTTATTTAAACATCACTCAAAGATGCAGGAAGAGTTTTTGGGAGGTTTTGTATGTGAAAAAAATGGCAATGGGACGTAAGACCTTCAAAAACAGGTTGGAATATGAAAGGTTTTGTAAGTTGGATCTTGTTTTCTTAAATGCCAAATTAACTGTTAAACAGGAGTTCAGCACAAATAAGCCGAACTCTTGAGTTCTCTCCCCTTCCTTCCCACTCTTCTTTCCCCTTCTCCTGACTCATTCTCAGGACTGCTGTACATATGCAGCCTACATGCAAACTTTTTATCACCAGTTATTAAAACTCCAGTCAAAATATTTAAAAATGCATTTTATTTAGCACTAAGAGTACATCCAACCCAGCTGTTTCATTTCAGCCTCTAAAGCTTTGTTCATTTGTTGTAATTACAGTATTGATTGATAGTACTCAAACTAATTAGAGTAACAAAATTAAGTCTCGTTTGTCAGTCTGAGCTTTGCTAACAGGAAGCTGTTAAAAGGGAGAAGGTAAAAGTCCAAAGTCATACCATCAGAACTTTGTATTAGAGCTGTTCCCTGCTGCAACATGAAGGAATATGCCAAAAATAAGATAAATCAAGCATGTTCCTCTTGTCAATATTCTGTGCTGCCCAGCTGATTTCTAATGTAGCTGGAAAAGTTGCAGATGTCACATTTGCCAATTTTAATATCCCTTATAATACCTATTTCTTCAAGTGTTGCTTGCAGGGTTTCTAACTCTAGAACATGAAGGCCACTGAGTTTCAGAGAAATTTTTGTTATTGCACTGTTGAAATTCACTGTCTTCAAGCATACAGATAATGTGATTTCAGAAATCTGTTGGTTACCACAGCATGGCTTATCAAACCCTTTACAAAAACCCCTGAAGAATTTCATAAGTAATCTGTAATAATGTGCCAGTGTAACTTTAGGAGAATTACAGGATAATAATTTTGCTTATTTTTATACAAATATATGATCTTGTCTTTTTATTTTTAGGTGTGCTTGGCAGTGACAATGGACTATTTATTTGCATCGGATACTCTTATATGAAAAGATCACATTTCCAAGGAGCTTAAATATTATTTCATCTTCTGAAACAGAATGGCAGGCTTCAAACGTGGATATGATGGAAAAATTGCAGGATTGTATGACTTGGATAAAACTTTGGGCAGAGGCCATTTTGCTGTGGTTAAACTTGCTCGGCATGTCTTTACAGGTGAAAAAGTAGCAGTAAAAGTGATTGATAAGACCAAACTGGACACTCTAGCCACTGGACATCTTTTTCAAGAAGTCAGATGCATGAAACTAGTGCAGCATCCCAATATAGTACGACTGTATGAAGTGATTGACACCCAGACTAAGCTTTATCTTATCTTAGAGCTGGGTGATGGAGGAGATATGTTTGATTACATCATGAAACATGAAGAAGGTCTGAATGAGGATCTGGCAAAAAAATATTTTGCTCAAATAGTTCATGCTATATCCTACTGCCATAAACTGCATGTAGTTCATAGAGACTTAAAACCAGAGAATGTAGTCTTCTTTGAAAAACAAGGACTTGTGAAATTGACTGATTTTGGCTTCAGCAACAAATTTCAGCCTGGAAAGAAGCTCACCACAAGCTGTGGATCTCTTGCATATTCTGCTCCTGAAATTTTACTTGGGGATGAATATGATGCACCAGCAGTGGGTATGTCCTCTTTGAATTCAACCAGTAATCTAAACTTAAGTACTATGATGCTGCACCACTCTGTTTTCTGTTTCAAGATAATGCCATATGTGGAAGCTAGCTAATTGGCAAGAAACAATATTATAACCTGGATGAGTTATGGATGAGTTAGTGCTGGAGCAGCTCTGTTTGAAAGAAATACTCAAACATTCTCAAAAATGCTTAAAAGTTCTTTTTATATGAAATGATGCAATTGTATACATTATTATTAATAGAAAAGTTAATTACAGTGTGAATGCAATGTGTATTTACTTTGTTAGAGGACCCATTTCCTTTTCAGAAAAGTGTCTGGTTTTAATTTCTTTTTGACATCATCCCCCTGCAAAAAACCCCAACCACTTGTTGATTTTCTTTGCTCAGTTTAGCCATATAAGAATGACATTGTGAGCCCAGGTTGCTTACATGTTCTGCTGCTAGGTGGTAGGAATCCATTTTTAATAAGTACTAACCTGGCTAGGCTAATAAGTACTAACTAGGCTATTCCTACAAAGGAGGAGACAGGAAATTAAGGAAGGCTTTAACTCCCTCTTCCCTTTCTCTGCCTTTTTCTTGTCTGAGAACTGGAAGTTCCCAGTTGTTCCCAGTTGTTTAAAACGTAAGCGAAATGTGTAAATCAGACTACACTTTTCTAGCTGGAAAGTGGAATGTGCTAGACAGACTGTTACAGATAATTCTCTACTTTCTCTGTTAGGTCTACTGCATATGGTATTAGAAGTAACTTGGAGGGTTTTTTTTTTAAATAGTTGCAAATGTTGATAGAATCACTGAATAATGTCCTGTAGTCAAACAAATTGCTTGCATCTGTTAGTTGAGGTAGAAGGTGCTTCTCCAAAAAAGTTAAGTATGTATAATTCTAAATGATGCTTCAAAAATAGCTTATTGTAGTCAACATGCCTCTTGTTCATGTGTACCCGTAGTATCTGATGCTTTTACTGTCGTAACACACCTATTAGGGCTCTCTACATGGCTCTGTGTGTGTTTTCCTATGGTTATAGTAGTGGCTGTAGTGTTGGTTTAAATTAAGACTGGCTTGTCCAATTTTTTTCCTAGTTTACCTGAGGTAAACAATGACATTATTTTTTGTATGCTGACAAGGTTTTCCTGCACACTGTTGAATTAAAAACTTGTATTACTTTTAATATACATATTTTTGTCTAGCAGATCTTATGGTCTTTGCTTAAACATTTGAATGACACTTCATGGCTTCTAACTTTGAATGGGTATTTTACTGTGGGTTTTCTGGACTTGAAAATACTTTCTCAAGTGTGCTATAATTAAGAATATTAGATGTCATAGTTGTGGACTAGAAGTATGTATAAGTTCCAAGGTGGACAAAAGAGATTACATCACTTACATTTTGACGCTAGTCATGTGCAAGGTGTATATATAGCCTGAAATAGTGGTGGAGTGCTGTGAACTCATTCAGTTATTGGCTGAATAGGGCTATTAATGCTGCAATAATAATGACTGACAATGGCAAAGGTTTTTGCCAGATAAGATGAAATTACACCGTAGCTGAACCAATCTAAAAGCTAGTTGCTTATGAGAAAGGAGGTCACACTTTCTCCAGTGTGACTACGTGGTCCTGCCCCTTTGTGAGCATCTGACTCCTTGAAAACCAACTCAATTTACTAAAATGACAAATTAAAAAGGATTACCCTGCTTATATGGTGTGCATGTTAAGGTACACTTGCATTCATTATAATACTTTTAAAACCCCACACCTGTTTTCATTTATCCAAAATTATTGTTATATTCACAAAAATTATTGCAAGATAAACTGATCAAGATATGATTTTTTTTTTTTTGGTGCAGACCTTTGCCACAAACGTGGCTTTTCTGATGTCTTATAGTATTAGAATGAGTATATAAAGGAAAAGACTTTATATTTTCTTGCTATGAAGAGCTGAAATACTCAGGGCAAGTCTTTTATTAAGTTATATGCTTAATAAATATAATGGAAAAGCTTGCTTTATGAAAAGGCAACTGTTTCAGCTAGTTTGGGGATTAATCTCCCCTTTCTGATGCTACTTAAAAGTTTTCACACTTGAAATGAACCTAGTTAATTTAGGTCTCTCAGTTCCTTTTGTGTTTAAGGCTATAGTTACAATGATGCAAGAAGAATATTAGGCAATGGTTGTATGTTCCCAGGGCTTTTCAAAAAAGCCGAGTGTGTTAGATAATGGTAAGTTTTGTTGCTTGTAGTTTCCCATGTTTTTTTCACACTTAATTAAAAATTGTTCTAGTGAGAGGACTGTCACACATAAAGTTAATTTTGTAAATCAGATGGACACGTTATTTTAGATGAGACAGAATTCTGTCTAAAGCAGTGGTGAATACTGCTGGAGTTCACTGGATTACAAAAGTGGGTAACTACAGCTGAGAAAGCATAAAGCATGCTTCTGGTAATACTTTTCCTTCATTACTCTACGAGCATCAACAGAGATTGGATCATTAAATAAATAGAAATCACCTCTTTCCTACGTGATAAAGTTTAATTACAGTTTTTCAGATCAGCTGATTCTTTCAGAAGAAAGCAAGTTCTATTTTAACTGTTTGACATCTCTACAAAGTATTAAGTGCTGTGTAGGCTAATTCTTCCAGTAATTCTGGAAGACATTGACACTTCTGATAGGTTTTTATTATTGTAGTCCGGTATTCTGTATGTGATTTTGTAGATGCATGGAAACATTTGCAGAGTAAATTAATTCTTCTGGGGATGAGAAACGAGCAAGTTCAGATTGCAAATTCAGATTGTAAGACCGGGATTGTCTCTTGAGCACAGTTGAGCGCAGGCCTTTAGAAAGGTACTGTGATGCACAAATAACATTGTAGGTATCATCACAATCACTTAGCATTGCAGTTTGTCATCACAGCAACACCAAGAGAATGGTTACAATTGCTCAGTGCTATTGAACTGTAAATTTGTTGTCAGAGTCCAACTTCCTCTCTTCTTGGAAGTTGGAGGGGCCAACCCTTTGAATAACGTTCATTGCTTTGTAGTTAGATGATGGCTTTCTTGCACAACTCAGACCCGTATATCTTCTGACAATATGGTAAAATAATAATGGATTTATGTATTCATTATCTACTCAGACATTTTTGATTATTAAAGGAAACAGAGGATATCATAATCTTTTGCTTTCCTGAGATGATGATAATGCTTTTAGACACACTTTGGCTGTTGGAGTAATCCCAAATTATTTTGTTTTGTTTTTGCATCAAGCATTTGCAGGGGCTTGGTACTTGCATTATAGTGTTGCTGGAGTGTTTGGTCTTTCAAAGCTTCGGTCATGTATACCTGGTGCTTGAGCATAGCTAAGTAGCCCTGATGACCCTATTTGGCTTGTGTGGAGCTGGTTTTGATGTTTCTGCATGTGTATGGCACTTTATTCATAAATTGAATGACTAATGTAAACATAATGGGTAGTGGATATCTACAGTAAGCTTTTACACTATAAAAATGCTTAATACAAGATTTGACAGACTTGAGTTAAAGAAAAAAATTGTAAGATACCTGCAAACCATATACGGTATTTATTCATTTAGCATACCTGACAGCATTTTGGAATTTCAGTATGCTCAAAATCAGATTACAGCCAAACTTGACAGAAATTAAAAGCAAAAATTCCTACAAAAGCTTTTCACTGACTGTTTTGTTTTGCAAATGTCCCTTTATAATGTTGTCTTGCAACACTTTAGAAGATTTATACTTATAGAATGAGCTTGAAAGTGTGAGGGTGCAGAAAGCTACAAGTGTGTAATACTCAGCTGCTTTGGGCATAAGAGGTCTTCCCCTTCTGTTTTGTTTGTGCTGCACTCTGTTGCATGGCTGACCATTTCATTTACTGATTTTATTAGCTAATTTGAAAACTGTTAACTTTTCTACATGCTTAACTTCTGCCAGATTAGAAGAGCTGTTTGTTCCCCTAACATTGAGTGGAAGAGCTGGTGCAAGGGAGGTGAAGGGTGTGTGCAGCTTGGACTAGAGTTCTGGGGGAAGGTGGTGTCGCACCTGTTTCTCTTTGCATTAACAAGTTTAGGTTAGATCAACTCAGACTAGGTCACTTATCTTCACCTTCCATGTAAGAGACTCATTTGACTGAAATTCATCAGGTATTGTTGCTGGCTAGGGTTAAACCACAACACTCACACTGCTGAAAAAAAATGACTCAAATTTGAAAAATTATCAGAAATGAGGTTTTTTTACTTTTTGGAAGGGGTTAATGTAAGGAATTGGTTATAGGATACTTTCAGAAAGCTTTAGCCTTGATGCTATTTGTGCCATGTTAACAAAGAATGTATTTTTAAGTTCTGTGGTAATTTGTATGCAGGTAGCAAAATTTATTTTAAGGGAAGGGGAGTCTGATTTTTATGTATTATGCTATCCTTTGATTCTGCTTCCCCCCCCCCCCCCCCTCAATCTGATTACTTTATTGACAAGAAAATAGTTTTAATGCCTCAAATTATTGAGGGTGTTATCTTACAGGTATCAGAGTCTTGTATTCAGAAGTGAAATTATGATGTGACAGGGCTGTAATGAAGGGTGGGAGTCTGATCCTGATGACTATTCAGCAAATCTGTACCAGCTAATATTTATTAAGTATAATTTATGTTCCTTTCTGTATTACTTTATGCATAAGTTTTAATGCATTAACCAATAATTGCTGGGTGACGCAAAGAATAATTTATCCAAGTGAAACTGCAGAGGAGAAGCTGTCAAGATAGACTTCAGTTACTGCCCTATCAGTTAAACTGTAACTTAAGTATAGGGATGTTTCTTAGTCACCTCCTTGTGTTCATGGGAGAACTGTTTTGATAATATTTCAAACTGCTGTTGTGGAGCAACATTTCATTATGATAAACACATCTCCACAGCCAGGAAGCTTAATTTCATGTATCTGGCAAGCAGATATTCAGATTTACTTATGTTCAGCCCATGACAGACTAATTTGGCAACA